TGAGTAATATTATCTCACTTGGTCTCAGTGAACTTTTAGTTCAATCATCCTGAAGGTTTGTACCATTTTTCTTGATGTAAGTTACATAAAAGAGGGTGTACATGGCAAGATTGTAGGATAATTTAATTTCACAATATTTGCTGCTCCAAGCTTTTATATTCCTCAGTGGGCTGTTGGCATGGAAAAAAATCAATGAGTCTACTTCCATGGGTGGCTACACACATTGTCTCCAAGTTGGTCATATTTACACAAAGTCCAGATAGCTTCTATCTGGACTTTGTGTCGCAGAGCTGGGAAATAGGGCTGTGCTTTCTAATACTAATTCTGTTATTGCTTAGAGGCATTGAGTGGACGCTTGTGTGATATATGAACATAAAGCAATATCATAAAAAGGGGAAATTTTTGCCATACGATTCTTTACTGTGGATTATAATACTCTTTGAAGTAACTCTGATGGTTAAATTGAGAGACCGACCAAGAGAAACAACAAAGAACCTCCTTGCTTTTTTTTTTTTACTGCTGTTTACGGTGTGTCTGATGGGAAAAAGCTCAAACAAATAAATTCACATTGAGAACTGTAGAACAATGTGATGGAGGCTGTAAATTAACGTCCAGAATTAAATTCTTCCTGTGCTTTAACAAAATGATCCCAAAGAGCTGTATTGAATGTCTTCTCCACAGTGACAGCTTTGGGTAAATGTGGTATCTTTTATTAGGCCAACTAAATAGTTTGGAAAATTGTTCTTTGCAAGCTTTTGGGCACAAATACCCTTCCTCAGGCATAGGAAGTCTGCTGCTGTGTATGTGTGCGCTCTCATGATGAATAATGATTAATGTTGGCTCAATATTATGATTAGTGTTTCACCCTGGAATAAAGCCAAGTTGCTTGGTATGAACTCAAAGCAAAGAAAGTCAGTGTTCTAAGATTTCTGCCCATTTTTTATTATCTCAATTAATTAGTGGTATTGGTAGGTACAATCTGCAGTGTTATGGATTTTTAAACAATACCGGCAGTCCTCAGACTTACGACACAATTTTGTTCCTGAAAACCGCATCTTAAGTCAAAACATTGTAACTCGGAACCAATTTTCTCATAGAAACAGTCGTTATAAATGGGGAATTGGTTCACCAAAAATACCCCAGAATTTTGTACTCTATCACTTATACATGAGTAATACAGCTACATTAATGTATTTATATTGTAAATAGCAATCATATTGATTTGGAAGGACTTCTTTGAGGTGACTTTGCTGGACTTTTTGAAAGGCTCTCGGTTAGACTTTTTGAAGGGTTCTTGGCTGGAGTCTTCTCAGGAGTCTTGGCTGCAGGTTTTTCTGGAGTCTTGTCTGCTTTCTTAAAGAAAGTGTCCAAGGAAGTTTGGACAGATGTTCTCCAGGGAGATGAGCGATGCAGCGAACTTGTTCACTGGGATGGCATTGCATCAGATCAAGTGTTGCAAGTTGAAACTGACATCATAAAGTTGAAACAGGGTGTCAATTTATAAACGTTGTAAGTGTGAAATGTTGTAACTCAAAATGTTGTAAGTCAAGGACTGCCTGTAGCTGACTTTGGCATGGTTCTACATGGGAAAGGTGCTCTATCCAGATGGTCCTTACATGATTGGGGCCTTACCACATATCGCTTCATGCAGGCTATTTCCTAAGGAAGTGCTATGTTAGCTAGTTAGTTTATATTTTTCTGAGTTACATGATGGAAAAATTATCATTGTCAATTTTTAAAGATTGAGGTAATATAAGAAATATAACTTCACCAAAAACGATGTTTTCTTAACGTTTTCGCTCAAATAATAACCACAGGTATTGATAGCAGTGTCACAACTCATCTCCCCACCGCCCTCCCCACTGCCCATTTCTCCATTACTTGGTGCTTTGTTTTCTTTCTTGCTTTCATTCATGCTTGTCATATTTCCTTCCTCTGAGAGGTTAAAGTTATTGACAGATTACCTTAAAGGCTGACCGTGCCCACCTCTTATAATCTTCCCAGAAATTCCAACATAATTTTCAGCAGTATGCTGAAGTAGGTTTTACACTGGTTTATTTGAAATACAACTATATTCATCTCACTTATTTTAATTAAGATAGGGGAAGCATCCTAGTTAATGCCCAGGTATAATTTTCAATGTCGCAGAGCTGGGAAATAGAGCTGTGCGAAATGGAAGCGTTCCGTTTCGACCAGTGTTTCAACATTTATACAGAACAGTGTTTCATTTTGACTCTTGTTTCAAGTAGAAATGGCTGTTCTGTTTCATTCCATCAAAACGTTTTGCTGTTTCGACCCTGTTGTAACGTTTTGCCCGTAGGATATAATGGGGAAGGTCGAAACAGGCTATAACTTTGTCATTTCTGGCCAGAATTTTGCCTGTCAGCAGCTAGGGGTGCAGGGCCCCAGAACCCCCTGCACCTACTCTTTGACAGCTGGTAGGCTTAGTGGCCGCAGCAGGGCCTAGCAGCCAGGCCCCGTGCCCCAAGATAGACACAGCTGAACAAGCACCCATGACATGAGTTCTGCCTGTTAGTAGCCAGAGATGCAGGGCCCCAGAACCCAGAAGCCCTACTCCTATCTCCTTGACAGCTGGCAGGCTTCATGGCTGCAGCAGGGGCTAACATCCCTGCAGCTTTCACCCCGCTGTGCCTAAACACACACACAGTGTCACCCATGTCATGAGTTTTGCTTGTCTGCAGCTTGAGGTGCAGTTTCCCCCAAATCCCTGTACCTATCTCCTTGAAACTTGGCAGGCTTTGTGGCCTCAGCAGGGGCTAGTATGTCTGCAGTTTTGAATCTGCTGTGGCTTAACATATACACGTGACATGAGTTTTGCTTTCAGGACTTTGTGGTACAGTTTCCCCGAACTCTCTGCACCTGTCTCCTTGAAACTTAGCAGGCTTTGTGGCCTCCACAGGGGCTAGTATGTCTGCAGTTTTGACCCCACTGTGGCTTAACACATACACATGACATGAGTTTTGCTTTCAGGATTTTTGGGTGCAGTTTCTCTGAACCCCCTGCACCTATCTCCTTGAAATGTGGCAGACTTTGTAGCCTCAGCAGGGGCTAGCATTCTTGTAGTTTTGACCCTGCTGTGGCTTAATACATACACATGACACAAATTTGGCTCTCAAGACTTTGGGGTGCAGGTTCTCCGAACTCCCTGCATCTCTCTTCTTGAAACTTGGCATGCTTTATGCCCTCCAAAGGGGCTACCATTTTTGCAAGTTTTATCCAAATCTGGCCAGAAATGACAAAGTTATAGGCTGTTTCAACCTTCCCCATTATAGCCTATGGGCAAAACGTCGAAACAGCAAAATGTTTCAACTTGCCTCGTTTTGTTTCGAGGCTGTTTTGACCATATCTGTTTAATTTTGATATTGCTGTTTCAACCTGGAAACAGCGTTGAAACAAAACTGGTGGCAAAATTTTGCACAGCCCTACTGGGAAGATCAGCTGAGATATCAAAGAATGTAAGTGCTTAAGGTCAAAATTGCATAAAAATTTGTTTGTAAATTCCAACTCAAGGAAATCCAGCTTCCTGTTACTTGAGCCTACAAACATGAACATTTGGTGTCCCCAGGCAGTTATGCGTACTCACAGGAAATCTGTTCATGAGCTACCTTCCTCAACAGGTCTGTTACCTAATTGGGTCATGAGTATCTCCTTCAGTCTTTCTGAAAAGGAGGTGATACAAAAATCAGATATGTTTGCACAGAATCCCAAAAAAATTGGATCTTAAACACTTGCTTGTATTAAAGAATGTAAATGGAACTACCTGTGACTGTTATCGCAGAGTGGTGGTAAGTGGTTAAATAACCTAGAAACCTCTAAGATGCCAATCTTTGTGCACAAGAACAGTTTAGAGAGGGGTACTAGCCTTACCCCAGACAGAGGAAATGCCACCAAAATTGTGGAACTGAAGTCCACTCCATGATAGGGTAGACTGGGCTCTTTAGCCCTAATCAGCAGTCAGTTGAGGAATGGAGTCGTGATAGATGAACAAATGGATGATCTCCTTTGCTCCAGTAGCTCCTGCAGCAAGACTGTTTCCAAACATACTGGCACCTGCCTTTCCTTTGGATTAAACCAGCAAGGCTGAGAGGTGGACACTGGTTTGCGGGCAGCTCAGTGTTTCCATATATACCACTAGGGCTTTTGCACTGTGGAGAGGTCACTTAAGCTCCACTTAATCTTTCAAGTGAGGATTCGGTTCAGTGAGCTGCTGACTCTCTCAACATAATTCTGTTGTTTCGCAAGACAGAAAAATGCCTACTAAATACAGGCAGGCGAAAAACAAATTCCCTGCTTTAGAAATACCATGCCAACAAGTCAAACTTTAGTGCACCTGATCCTGACCCCTGTAGACAGTCTCATCTTCAGAAATGATGAGCTAGCTGGAAAAGCCTAATCACACTAAGTGAAACTTTTCACTGTCGACAGACAAATTATCAGGAAGTGGCTGCCAACACTGGTGATTTTACAGCAAAACATATGGTATTTGGTGCCTGTCTTAAGAGTCCCCAGGTTCCTGTGATTGTGAGAGAATCTAATAACTGAATTTTTTAAGGCTTTCAGTCCTTGTAGTTGAATAGAAAATCTCAAAAAACATAAAACAAAAATGATTAGAACACCAACATATAAGTACAAGGGGCACATTTTTTTCATCTCATGATTATACAGTCACTCTTATGCTTTTAGGGAACTGACCAATGATTTTTTGAACAGTTTGGGTTGGTAATGCAGGAAAGCATGATATTTTATACAGGTTTGTAGCATTTAAAGAATCATTTGTTTTAATTGTAATGTTTACCAAAATGCTTGCTTTTTTTAAATGCATTATACTGGGGTTATTGGGGTATTAACCCAGATATGCTGAGGCAGAGTTGCTTTTGTTCATTCTTCTAATGAAGTTAACTCTTGAAAATACATTCACACTAAACAAGCAAGAGTAATTTTTTGTTCCATTGCTGATCTTTTGATCTTTTCTGTTTTAGTTATACCAGCAGAGTTGTTTCCAATGGATTGAAGGCACAAGTTAATAACCCAGAGCTGAAAGTCAGAGGATTAGACCCTCTCATCAGCCATTTAATTGACAAACTTCAGCATTTTAACCAGGTAAGCAAACTCTTCACAGTATAAAGCTAATCTATATCAAAATGATAAAGGATGTGAGATTAAAAGCACTGAGGCATGTTCTGTACTGAGAAGGTTTTTTTTGGAAAGTTCCATGCAGTTGGGAGGATGACAGTGATGGTTTCAAGACACATTGCTCTTGGATTATGAGCTGTGATGAGGCAAATGTGTCCCCTTGGGGTGAATTATAGCAAACTGTGCTGCTGCTCTAATTTATGGCAGTCTTCCCAGAGTTTTTGAAAATCTACCTTACAGCCCAGAACCCCTGCAATATTGAGAAACTACAGTATGCCTCTGGCATGCTCAGTCCCATCCCTATGCAAGAGCCTCAGGCAGCTTGGGGGTACTTATACTGCCCCATGATGATGTTCCTGCCTTGGGAGAACTCTCAGTCAGTAGGAGCATGACATGCACACACAGAGACTGGATGGGTTCTAAATCTGTGGTCACTGGATTCCACGCAGTCTGACCAAGCAGGCGTGTGACTTTGAAAACGGAAATGTAGCCAAGCACAGTTTTTAACCTTCCCTGGCAAAAAAGGGAAGCAAAGCTTCCATTAGGTTTGTCACAAGCATGATTAGTCTGTGTCTCCTTAAATTAGCAGTTCACATTCAACTGGGTGACTTTTCTGTCCAAATCAAACACACAGTCTTTTAGTGCTGCTGATCTTCACGATGCTATTATATGATTGCTTCAGCGTACCTCTTTTCAAGTTCCAGAATTGGTGTCAGTCCAAATTAGTTGGAGGTAACAGATTTAACAGCAATTGATTTTTCATTTAAAGTATGCCTGTTTTCTTGTCAAGCTGAAAGAATGTTTACAACTGTGTCTCCAGAGTCTACAGTGTTAGTACATTAATGCATCCCTAATCTTTCACCATTATAGAGTGATGTAATCTGAGGATGAACATAGGTAGCTTGTAGGCAGCAATAGTAGACCTCATTGCCACTGTGCTGGCTGGCTGTCACAAAGGCAGAAATAATAATCGTGACTAAAATGCTGGGGGAAATTCTTTACCTGGCTGTTGGAGCAGTGTGCTATGACTCTGAGTCATAATTGGGTCCCTGCTCTTGGAACAATACAACTACATGCTGTTCCTTACTCTGGGCCTGTGGTAAATCCATGATCTAACCATTAATTAGCTTTGATTCAGGATTGGCTCTAATATTCTCTAGGTTGAGAATTAGGAAGTCTAGTATCACACTGTTTGATTTAACTTGCCACAGAGAATTACAACAAGCAATCTGATGTGATATTTAATACTTCAGTGAAATAAATATTATGTGGCCAGATTGATGGAAAGGATAATTCATTATTTATCTGTCTTTGCATGTTATCAAATAGAATGTTAATTTCCTCTATAAATGTTAGATATAGCCATCTGTGTAATAGTCTTCTATAAACACTGACAATCAGAAATAATTACAAATAAATTCATTTGAAAGTAGGTTTCTTTTGAAGTCCCCATTTATTTGCCTGATGTACAATAATTATACGAGGGTTCTGATTTTCATGAGCTATGCACCTGTATGCTTAAAAGTGTATAAAAACAAAAAGCTTCAAGCAACATTTTTAAGTAAGTATAAAATCCTCTTCATTCTTAGCTCTTTGTACAAGTTAGCTGGAAGAATTGCCTTGTATGACTTCTAATTCTGCTTTAGGAAAATATCCTTAAGTAAACTTAAGTCCTATCAGATTGAGGTACTTAGAAAGTAATGGATTCCAAGGGTGCAGGATTAAACAGAATACTGATTTCTGCCCTAAAATGGTTCGTTCTTAAGTACTTGGAATAATATGAATTCCTTTGATCATAATTTTTAGTGAGATTTCTTCTAAGATCAAAGCATCAAAGAAGTTGCTAAATTTCTTTTTAAGGCTTTTGCACAAAACATCAAACATGTGTGGCTGTTTTCTGCTTTCTTGAGATTTTCATTTCAGTTGTGATATATTAATACACAAATAACAAGTGACACTGAAAAGCTGATGAAATCAGGAGTTAAATTGCCCTCAGTAGTGTGTGTAAATTATATAGAGAGAGATGTATAGAGAGATAAAGTATATAATACCAGTGCTCTTTTTAGAGATTAATTGATTTTTGTAATAGGTTAAGAAAAATAATTTTTATACACAATAAAGGTTATAATTTAAAATGTGACAAGTAGTTTGTTATTTTTGTTTCTTCTTAATGATTTGAAATGTACTGAATCATTTTAAGTAGTAACTGCGGGTTTTATTTACAAAAGGGATCCTGAAGAGAAAATGGGGTCAGGAGGGCAGAGGGTAGAAGAGGAAGGATAAGTATTCCCATGAGGAGTGGTGGCCGGATAATACAAAGGTAGTTGCTTTTTTAATAAGATTGCTTAACTGTACAGAGGCAAGTACCTTCCTGAAAAAGAGAGAAATATAGGTTTTTAAAAGAGCGAAAGAAGCAGGCCAAGGCTAAAGGACCAGTCAAGAATGTTCAGATAAGAATGAAGCTCCGACATGTAAAACCTAAAATGGGGATCAAAAACTGGAGGAAATCTTTTCCCTCCATAGAGAAGGAGAAATTAGATGCAGCCTGCTGACCAAGTGGTCAGCCTTTATACACATTAATTTTAGATGGCTCCTGGAGCTTTTAACCCCTGAATTGTCCACACATTAACACCTGAAATTAATTTTAAGAACACTTCAGGCAGTTTACACCACTTCAGGGCAGGTTTATCTCTGATCTGTCTTACCGAACTTGTGTTTCATTAATGTGTGGCCACCCCCACAGATGGGCTGCCCAAGTTGCAGTCCTCCAGCATTGCAGAATGTAGGGTCCACCCCCCACCCTTCTGTACTGTGTGAACAAACTTTCCACCCCCTGAACTCTACTGCCCAGGGGGCAGTTCTGGTACCAAGCCAACTCCCCTTCCTGCCCCTGGGGTGAGACCTTTTCACCCCCAGGGGTGCAACCATCTGCAAACAGCCTGAAGAGCACATGCCAGCTAGCCAGGTTGCGGGGCACCCCACAAGTTGGGTCTGGGAGGGTGTGGGGCAGGGAACAAGGTGAGAAGCCAGATCAGGTCCCCATGAGCTGGGGCTTCCGTCCCAGCGCAGGGGCACAAAAGCTCCTTCCCTCACCACCCCCTCTACCCAGCCAGCCTGGGAAGCACAGCCAGCACCCCACACAACCCAATCCCAAATCCCAATTTATTAAAGCATAAGATCTCCTTTAATTTACTTCCTTTTTATTTGGTTTTTTTCATCTTTTTTAATTTTATCCTTCAGTGACTGACTTCCTTCATTTCACTACCCTTCACCCACCTCTATTTCCTTTCCACCCCCCATTTCATTACCCACCTGCACCCCATTAACTCTCCACCTCCCTGCTTCATGCCCTTCCCCAAACCATCTTCCACACATCCCCACCTAGAACAGGGATAGAAGTCTATCCTGGCTCACCAGCCTTGTAGTGGCAACTCACAGTTGTACCCCCTTCCTACTCAAGCCCCTGATTGCCAGTCCTCTAGTGGCAAGTAACAGCTGTGCAGCTGGGGGACAGTCAGAAAAAGTTTTTAGTAGAAATGTAAATAGTTTAATGATTATTACATTTATGCCATTTACTGCTTACCATTTACCAACCTCTGTCAGGAATGGCACTGGCCCTGGCCTCTTATGTCTTCACTTTTCTGCATGGGTGAGTCCCAGGCCAGTGGCTGGGAGCTGCTGGCAGGGAGCAGCGGGCATGGCTGAGCCACTAGGGTGCTGCCCAGCTGTGAAGCTGTGGCTTCCCTTGCCCCCACAGGCAGGGGCTGGGGTTAGAACTGTGGACAGAGCTGGGGCTGTGGACCTCTCCTGTGCTGGGACCCCACCACCATGGGAAGGAGAGAAGGGAAGGAGGGAAATGCCAGGGCCTCTACAGGAGCAGACAGGGCCTTCCCACTGTAGCAGAAAAACTCCCAGCTGCCTGGTGGGTCTGCCCAGCCCCACTGCAGCAGTGGGGCCCAGGCAAGGCAGTGGGCTGCCTACACCTCCCACCACACATGTACCACTGTGGTGAAGACATAGAAGGCTCCTGTGTGCTGCCACAGCCTGCCCCAAGAAAAGGAGGGGTCTGGTCCCAACAGAGCATCCTTTCCCTGGGCACACTGCATGGTTCCCCCTTCCTACCCCTGATGTTGGGGCCACATGGGGCCTGACCTAGCCCTGAAGTGGGGTTGAACACATCATTGGCTTAGCTTAAGGAGGTGTTGCAGCAGCTGGAGCAAGTGGTGCTTGGTCTGAGGGGTCATCACCAGCCCATCATGAGGTGAGGACAGCTGCAGGGTGTTCCTGAAGGGCTGCAGTGCAGCAGCTCAAGCCTGGGAGGCTACTGTTGCAACCTAAACATTCTCCTTGGGTCCCTGCTGCAGCACCACCCTTCAGAAATGCTGCACTCACCACATGAGGGACCAGCAATGATTTCTTAGACATGGAACCACCTGCAGGAGCACCTCAGGCCAAACCAGCTGCATGCTCATCTCCACTTCAGGGCTGGGTCAGGCCCCATGCAGCCCCAGTGCCAGGGGCAGGGGGAGAAAGAACCAATGCACCAAGCTTGGGCCACCCTGCTAGGACTGAACCTCCCCTTCCCCTGGGGTGAGCTGAAGAGTTTCTGGCCCGGCAGCACAGGGCTGGGCTGCAGCAGCACAAGCAACACAAGCATGGCAGGAGGTGCAGGGAGCTTGTCACCCTGCCCAAGCCCCACTGCTGCAGAGACACCAGGCAGACCCACCATGAAGTGACAAGTCACACTGCTGTAGCAGGAAGGCCCCACCTGATACCTGTGGGGGGCCCAGCACATCCTTCCCTCCTTCCCTCTCTGCTCCCTCCCGCCCTTGCTGTGGTGGCAGGATCTGGGTACAGAAAAGGTTCACAGCCCCAGCTCTGTCCACAACACCAGCTCCAGCTGCAGCCCCTGCCTGTGGGTCGAAGGGAACTCACAGCTCCTCAGCTGGGCAACACCCCCTAGTGGC